TTGTAACACATGAAAGGCCGGCGATTGCGTGTAATATAATTTATTATTGTGCGTTAAGGACGGGGTGTCCTCGTAAGTGCATACTGCAATCCCAGAAACTTCAAGTAAGGCCCCTGTTTTCTTTTGTTGTACCGTTGCTACCTGATTTTTATTTAAGATTATGAGGCCGTCATCATACAGTATTGGGTTAGTTAATTCTATCATTTTGATTCTCGCTAGATCGGCATCAGTGCATATGTATGTGTGGCCTTCCTTATGACATTTTTCCACCGACATCTTACTGCTTTCCGCCACGTAAACTGGTTGAAAGACTTTTAGTTCATTACCTACTTGTTTTGTAGCAATACTTAAAAGCACCTTTTGTTTTCGTTTGAGTAGAGGAATAGTAAGGGCACCCCTTAAAATATCAGCGGTTGCTTCTTCCACATTTGCTGAGAATTTTGCTGTTTGGTATAAGAGATAAGGTTTCCTTACGTATATTGTGTCATGCAAAATGTTAGTTTCACGTATCAATTGTGTAATTTGGCTAGGTGGAATTATTTTACTGGTTAGGCGCTCTGAGTGTAGACTCTGTAGGATGTCATCAAATTCTTGCAAAAGAAAGTGTTGATACATCATGAAAGTAACATTTCGCTCCACATTGCACGCAAGTTGTTTGTTCCCCTCTGTAATGTGGTGCAGATTCCTCCTAATTGCAATAAAGGTCTGCTCTACCTCATTCCTATCCTTCATGATTACTTTCTTCAAGTATGCCCCTTTTGTGTTTACCTCATGACGGAGTTGCTCAATTCTACCTTGTGAGGTAACATAGTCAAACCCAAGCCACGCTACCGCTCCGATTCCTAGCGCTGCAAACGCAAGTGGACTCCTTTTCGTGCGTTCAGTTTGTAAGTCGCTTAAGTTATCTCTGAAAGTTTCCTCATTTAATATCCTAAACATAGAACCCAGTACATCTGACTTATATTGTTTTTGACAAATTTCATAATGCATTGTTGTATCTATTACTAATTTTAATATTAATTCTCCGTCCTTAAAGTAAGCTCGCCGCTCCGTTGCGTATGTTATTACCGTGTCGTTCTTCACCTCCATGCATGCTTCAGTTACTTCTCGATGCATCATTAGAAGTGCGCTCAGCATAATTATCCCCAGTGCTTTCTCCATTTTTGTGTGTAGTTGATCTTTTCAACGGTCAGCCACACCTCTCTCTGCACACGCCAACTACAGGGCAGATTATAATCAATTCATAATTAGATGATTTGTGCAGGAAGAAGCTCGGCTTTTCATTGGTTGATCAAGAATGTTAAAAATATAAACCCATAGGAAGCCACTTTACCGAGTTGCACCGCTGCAATCTGCGATAAGTTTTTCCTTCAATTAAGAATGTAGACTACATAAATTGGCACGTTATGATTTCGGCCCAACTACCGGCGTTACGCCAATTCCAAAACATGGTTCACAACATGGTTCCAAACATGGTAAGATTACAGAAGCACCTGAGAAGCACCTGAGATTAATCGAAGAGCAAGTGCAAGAAGAGGGAGGAAAAAAAATTTTTTTTTTTTTTTTTTTTTGAGTTTGCACCACTGCAGCCTTCGATAAGTTTCTCCTTCAATTAAGAATGTAGACTACATAAATTGGCACGTTATGATTTTGGCCCAACTACCGGCGTTAAGCCACCTAAAACATGACTGCTCCAACTGCAAATTTCATTGAATTTGAAGTACTTCGATTTACGGGAAGATTACAGAAGTACCTGAGAAGCACCTGAGATTAATCAAAGTGCAAGAAGAGGGAAAAAAACAATTGTTATGACTTTCAGAAGTGCGGTAAAGATTTAACTTTGTTCAATTTATACCATTATGCGTATTACTGAAAACTTTAAATGCGTGCGACCTACCCTCATTTAGTAGCTTGAATAAAAAATACGTTTTTTAGGAGCAATGACTTAAGACCCTAATAAAAATAACTTACTTCTCTGGTTATTGCGGTCCTCACTATTGTTATCACGTAATTTAATATTTTTCTCCTTGCCACGCGTTTTCTTGTTTACATTGATTTATGAATTGAGCCCAACATGCATTGGTTGTCAGTAGGTTAGCGTTACCCACTATTATGTTTAAAGCCCTGGCTCTCGTTAACATTACATTAAAGCGTTTAGGGTCCTTTAAAAAACCTAAAGAGGTTTTTTGAGCATTTGCTCTTCTTGATCGTACCGTTGATATTATGACTACCAATTTCTCCATTCCTTGGAACTGTTCCACTGTTCCAACCACAATTTTTGACCAATTATTTTCGATTAATTTTTGTGTGATTTTATGTATCTGACCTCGATACGGCGTAATGACCCCTATATTCTCTTGTGTTATTACCTTATTTTTCAACCCTGGCGTTGTTAATAGTTTATGTAAATAAGATACAATTACATCAGTTTCATCCATATTATAGTAGCTCTTACTGAGTTCATCTTGTTTTTCTTTACCTGTAACATTATGAAAAACCACCGGATGGTTTTTATTAGGCAACCAATTTGAACCAATTGCTGCCGTTATGATTTTACTTTGACCTTCCGCAATCAACTCACCGCCGTAGAATAATTTGTTTGGTAAATTAATAATGGTCTTATGCGAACGGTAATTTCTAATTAATTTAACCGCATTATTAGGATGATATCCGTTGTTGCTAGAATAAATTTGTAATTTCATTAATCTTTCCAGTAGTGAGGTTCCCAGCCCAAAGTTTGTCGCCCAATTTGACATTATAACTGGAGATAGTTGAAATGGGTCCCCCGCTAGGATTATGCGAGTCGGATTTTTGCCAGCATTTGCTAACCCTGCCCATGGAATCAGAATTTCTGGTTCAATTGCTAAAGATGCTTCATCCACAAAGATGTGTGTAAAATGTGGGCTCGTTCCCAAACCCGCTGACACAAGTTTTCCAGCTCCTACCAGAGTTGTTGCGAGAATTGTATGTTTTCTCAGCTGATGTGCTTTAAAATTTACCACCTCATTTTTAAGATTTTTATTGTAACATTGTGCCTTCAAAATTTCTTCAGGAATTGACGTTATTTTTCTGTTGACTGGGTAAAGGCGCAATAGCTGTGTGGCAGAAATATGTTTTAGCAATGATACTGTAATGTTATCTACCACTGAATTTGATGGAGCGCAAACCAGTATTTTAGTGTTAGTGTCATTGGCTCGATCATATAGTTGATTGATTGCCTCTACTATTGTTGCAGTTTTTGCCGTCCCCGGTGGGCCAAAAATGATCAACGGTTGAACTGACGAAACTCTTAATATACTCTTTATTGCAGTTGCCTGCTCTGGGTTATTTTCAATTTTTGGATTAATCCACTTTATTGGGTCATTAAAATTTTTGGGCACTAGTGTATTTTTTGAAGGAAATAGTGCCTCCCTATCCATATTTTCCGACTGCTGTAAGGCTCTATGAGCACTTTTAAAGGGATAGCGGTTTAGCATGAACGTGACACTCGCTCTATCGCCATCTGAATAATTGAAAAAGAATGAAGCCGGTAAATCAATCTCTGTTGTTTCATTTCTAATTTGTTTTACCACTCCATAGTAAGCCTGGTCCGGGAATTTTGTTAACGTAACTCTAACTTTATCTCCTATATTTAATACTGATTTTTCTTCTCTAAGTCCTGGCACCTGGACTGCCATGTATTCAGTCGTCTCCAAAAGCGGAACATCTCTCAATGCATAACCTCTCAAATTTTTGGCTGCTTGGAGTTCTTCCAAATACAGTGCTAAGTCAAATCTGTTTTTGTAATTTTTTGGTGTTAAAGCGATGTCGTTTGGTTTACATTCTCGGAAGATTTTCTTGTACTCCTCATGCAAATTTGCCTCCATCTGTGACTCTGAGGGAGGGGGGATTTGTTCTTTGTTAGCAAGAGCTGAAATTACTTGAGGAATAACATACTGATCCAATGACACTTTCCCCGGTCGAGGCTCAATTGTTAACACTGATGTTCTCGCTGACCTATTCTCCGATGACAACTTGGCTATGTGCTGAGTTTGTGTTTTCCTCTTCTTCCTCACTCTGTTTACCCCGCACGTGCCTCTCCTGTGTTGTTTTATTATTTTTGATGCTAATATTGAGTAGACATTCGCTCTTAATTTTTCTGGATTGAGATATGGACGCAACCGATCAATCTTTATTTTCTTTAATTTTGGGTGTTGTTCTGAACCTTGATTGATTTCATAAATTGAGTCTGTTATTTTCTTTGTAATTATGTATGGACCTCGGTATTGAATGGACAGTTTTTTCATTACTCCAGGTTTGACCGCTGGATGGAAAAGTAACACTTCACTCCCTATTTCTAGTT